GTGAGCACTCAGTAGACCTTGCTATCAATTCAGACAGTACCACTTTTCATCGACTCTCAAGTTTACAAGGAGGTTAGTTGTACCTGCTCTGCAAGCTGATGTCATGGGTAGTCCCTTTTGTTGAGTTGGCTGTCATTTGAAAGCAGCAGCTGGAACAGCCACTGAACTGCTATCCGGGGTTTTTGTCTTGTTTAAATTAAGATGTTCCTATATGTCTGTTTTAGAAAAGTGATTTTTATTATGGTTAGAGAAAAGTTTGGTTTGTATTCCTGTATACCCACGTTTTCTGTTGAACATTTTGTTTTTTGCTTGGGAGTGTTTAAAAGATGTTTTTTTGTCAGTGTGGGGAGACTGGCACAAAAAATTATGTAGGAGATTGCGCAAGAAATAAATGTGATAACTGGCTGTATATGATCCTTTGTTGTCTTGTGATACAATAAGCCTAAACTCTTTGCTGCACCTCCTTCCAGTAACTGCAGGCATCATGAGATCTTCCAGTGCTGTTGTGCTGCAGGATCATGCTTTTATTAGTCCCCCACTGGCAACGAATTCAGAGTCTATGGGATATATTTCATCCCAAGATGTCAAATTTTTTTTTTTTTTTTTTTTTTTTTTTTTTTCGAGACAGGGTTTCTCTGTGTAGCTTTGCGCCTTTCCTGGAACTCACTTGGTAGCCCAGGCTGGCCTTGAACTCACAGAGATCCGCCTGCCTCTGCCTCCCGAGTGCTGGGATTAAAGGCGTGCGCCACCACCGCCCGGCACAAGATGTCAAATTTTAAAGGCAACTCATGGCATGTTGCATAACCAAAATGAAGGTGAGAGAGAGAGTGATTAACAGGATTTGTGATATTTTATGCTTCTTTCCATTTGTGCTTTGTGATCACTGGGAAGTCAAAGGGAAGACTTCTTAGTTAATATAGACTTTGTAGTTTCAGCAACCATAGTAGCAACAGTAGATTAGCATTGGAAGCCTTCATCTTAGATATGCTGCTCTTTATTTTCTTAGCTTGTATTATAGAAATACCCAGTGTGAAGTTGACATGGCTTTGGGCACCATTGTACACAGGGGTGTTTTGGGAAGTTCATATACACAGAAGTCTGAGGATTTTGTTTAGGGTGCAGATGCTGAGACCTACACAGAATCAGGATCTGCATTTGTTCACAGCACTGTCTGGTTAGGTCCATGTGGTTGGAGTTGCAAGGAGGTAGAAGTGTATTTTTGTTTCTTCCCTGTATGATGTGCACTTTGGAGAATTGTTTACTCTGTCTGTTCAAAGGCACAGAATATGTGCTTATTACTTCTTGCTCTCCTCATGTGCACGTGTCCATTTGTCATTTCGTTCTCAGCACATATGTGGAGGTCAGAGGACAGTCTTCCCTCCTTTCATGCTTTTATAGGTTCTGCCAAGTGCCATCTAGCCTCTGAGCCACCTCCATGGCTCCATGACTCTACTAACTTCCTGGGATTCTTGTTAGAGAACATGGAGCATCTGGGAATTGTATATTTGTGTGTGTGTGTGTGTGTGTGTGTGTGTGTGTGTGTGTGTGTGTGTGTGCGCGCGCGCGTGCAAGCACAGAGAAAGTATTATGACCATATGACGGATTTACTTCCTTCCTGATCACTTGTCCCCCACCTCTTTAAAAATATTTTAAGATTATTCCATAGTAGCTAAAGAAAAGAAAACCCCTTCATTTACCCATTTGCACTGTATACTAAAAAGTGAACACATTGCTTGGGGGTGTGGGGTTTCTTTTCAGTATTATACATCATGGACAAGAGAGCATTGTGAACATTGAGACAGAAATACTGGATCTAAAAACTGGTTTGGGGCTAGAGTGTAACATGAGACTCTTGGAAGATATAGAAGAGCAGAAACATGTATAGATATGATGGTAAGAGAGCTAGGGATAGAAGTACCGTGGTAGAGTCATTAAATTACATTTGTCTTACTTGGGTCTTTAAATCATAGATGGGGTAGAGAGGTGAAGGCAGTGTGTAAAATGGGTTGTTGAATGAGAGATGTAGTTTTTTGTATTAATCACTGCTGAAGGTAGTGGTGGATTAAATAATCAACATGTCCATAATTTCAGGCACTTCACACTAGATATTGTCTAAGATTGAGCAGCTGGGCAATGGAAAAATAGGGTGAGCAAAGTGAGTAGACAAAATAAGAAGGAATCCCTTTTTATTAGTACTTTTATATTATCAGGTTTATGTCCTGATTCTATAGATCATTCTATGGCACTTCAGAATGAGGGGATGGCCACAGCAGAATGAGTGGCTGGCTGTGGGTACTGCAGGCTTGCTTACCTTTGCTCTGTGTTCCTTGTATTGCTAGGGAGCAGCAGGTCACCACAACTCTGCAACTGTGAAAGGGATATTTGGAATATTCTGTATCATCACCTAACATGCACAGTCAGTTTATTGCAGTGGCTAGCCTTGACCAGCTATGTCGATTATAAAGCAACAGGCCTGCATGTGTGTAGATTTTATTTGAAGCTGTATAATCTGTCATTTGTAGGTTGCATCTCCTGTTTAGAGTATTTATTGGTGTAATAAAGCTGCTGGTGTCAGTAACTCAACCTTGAATGTGGCTTCCTTTGTATGCATTTCCATCCCACATGGTTTATATTTTAAATACACCTCAGTTGGGTGAGGTATAATTTTTTCATCTACAGCCGGAGTCAGGATGAGGGAGGGCTCTAGTCTTCAGAGAATGCAGAAAATCTTCCTGGGAGTTTCATACTTAGAGCTATTTTGGGGCTTTGTGATTTGTAAACTGTTGGTGGAGGAAATAATAGTCATAGTTTGTTCTGGAGATACAAAGAAAAGAATGAGGATGTGATGTTAGGGAATATAATTTGGCCTGACAGCTTTAATGAATAGGTCCTGGCTGCTTAAAAGGTGGGTTTCTAGCCGAATACGCTTATCTCCTGCCTATAGTTAGCACTATCATTTGGTTGCAGGTGATCTGCTAGGGGAGCTTGCAATTGCAAACTCAAGGAGAGTTGCTGTAAAAAAAAAAAAACAAATTCAGCCATATTTTGCTCTACATATATTGAATATCCACATCATCTGCCACATGATTTTATTTGAATTCCACAAATGGGGTCTAGTTTTAAAAAGCATTTATGTTTCTGGTTCTGGTTATGATTTTGAAGGTCCCTGGTGACCTGCAACCCATTGGAGTTCAGCAGTTGCTCATGTTCAGAGTTGGGTTGACTTCTTAGCTTTCCTGTCAAACCCCAGATCCCATCCTGGTGAGTGTCTGGCATTCTTGTAAGGCCACCCAGAGCTCAGGATGTGCTGCTGTCCTGTAAAGGGGCTGCCCCACTTCAGAAATGCCGTTTTTGCAGGTCTACAGGGGTGAGGGAGAAACTGTATCTTGCTTCCTTCCTTGGGCTTTTCCTTTACTGGAGGATATTGATCTCAACAAAGGGGTCAGGACCCCTTTGAAGGGGCATCAAACAACCCTTCTACTCGTGTTGCCTAAGACTTGGGTCACAGCATTAGGAAGGCTGAGAACCGCTGCTACAGGAAAGCTTCACAAGAAAGAGTGCAGCTTTATGTAGGGCTTAGAATATTTATGTGGTTGGATTTCTTTGTAAGAAGTAGTTTGAAGAGTATAGAAATTTAGGAGCTGGACCAGACTTTTCTTTGAGGCCAATGGAGATTTTACATGGTTTGTTTTGTGATGGTCATAAAAAACCCAAGTCCTTCATACAACCCCTATGCCCTGGATGACAGTTCTGAGCTATTGTGCTTCTGCTCCAGCAGAAAGAAGGATGGAAGAAGCAAGCACAACTGTTTTTATCCTGCCTTTACCTAGACATTATTATTTTCTCTTTTCATAGAGGAATCATCCAAAGTGTCTGAGAAGCTCCAGGTGAAGGATATAAAAATGTTTAAATCTTTTTTGTTTTTTGGGACATGGTTTCTCTGTGTAGCTGTGCGCCTTTCCTGGAACTCATTCTGTAGCCCAGGCCGGCCTCAAACTCAGAGATCAACCTGGCTCTGCCTCCTGAGCGCTGGGATTAAAGGTGTGCACCACCGCCTGGTTAAAATGTTTAAATCTTATAGTAGGTGTGTGATTGTTAGGTTAGTAAAGTGCAGAGGTCAATAGAAAAGAACCTCTGAATGTTCTTAGCTAGCAGAATTTTTGCCGAAAACTAAACTGAACAGGCATTTCTTCTAGTTTCCATATGATACCACTTATTCCATATGCTATTTCTATGATTAAACCTAGGGCTGTGCCCTAACACCCCACAGTAGTAGTCTCCTCTCAGGTCCTCTTATTTATTACTTAAAATGTACAGTATCCAGTCCACTTAAAAAAGAGAACCACATATGTAATGTAACACACACACATGTAATATAGTTTATATGTGGTCTAACTCACTACACATCTGGTTTTGGAGATGACAACTGTTTTCTGATTTTTGCTAGGAGTATGCAACTTCAGTATTAATAGTGAATTATGTGGGTGTTGGGTGCATGAGGAAGTAAGGAGATTTGCATTCCTTCATTGGAAGATTAGCTTGATTTGTGAAGTAGGAATGTATTGCCACTTTATACTCTAGTAGTGGATCATATAATACTTTTTTTTCTTTCCTAAGACGGTGCCTTTCCTGGAACTCATGCTGTAGCCCAGTCTGGCCTTGAACTCACAGAGATCCACCTGCCTCTGCCTCCCGAGTGCTGGGATTAAAGGCGTACGCTACCACCGCCCGGCCCATAATACTTGTTTTGTTAGGAACATCAAACCTGTCTCCTCCTAAAATAAACACACTCAATCAAATAAATACTCTTAACTGTGTATCTCTGACTGATTAGGTCCTTGCTATGGTAGGCCCAGGTGACTTCACACTCATGAAGACACACCTAACTCTGTTTCCCAAGTAGTATTAAAGGTATGCCCACCCCTACCCAGTTTGAATACTACCTTTACAGTGAAATTTGTGTGCCTCATTTTTAGTAACTCCTCTTTCCATTTCCACAGGATGACAGCGATGGGATCCCGTGGTCAGAAGAGAGAGTGGTACGGAAAGTCCTTTATTTGTCTCTGAAGGAATTCAAGAATGCACAGAAAAGGCAGCATGGGGAAGGCATTGCTGGGAGCCTGAAATCAGTGAATGGTAAGTTCACAATAGAAACTGAATATGATCTTTCTGTGTTTGCTGCATTGTTCTGAATTTGGGTGGGTGCTTACAGCTTGAGCTTGCCAGATATGCAAGAATGTATGAATATATATTGTGGGCCTTGTATTAAGTTTATAGATTTATTTTCATGTTCCTTTATGCACTGCAAAGTGGAATTGGGAAGGTACCTTAATCTGTTTTGGAGGTCATGAACTGAATGTGTGCATTTATCTACCCCCCTTCCATGGTTTTCTACACAGTTTGTGCACAGACCCCTTTAATGATCTTGTTGAAATATGGAGCCTACGTTTAAGAAATAACCTCAAAACCTACTACTCCTTGGGCTGTGCCACCAGTCTGGTGGGCACCCCTGCTGTAATCCTTGACCAGGCCTGGCTGGTTGCTACAAGACATAGGTGTACAATGATTAGAACCCTAATCTCAAAAGAATCTCTTCCTGTATTTCTGGAACAGATCTGAAAAACCATAGAGAACTGGCTCCCACTTTTACTGCTTTCTCTGTCTCCGTCATTCAGTAGGATTTTAGAACAAATAATGCTAGAACTATCAAGACCATTTCATTGTCTGTTTCTAGTTGTAGTATGTTTATTTCATAGTCCATTTTATATATCTTAAAGCTTTAAAGACCATATTTCTTAAAGATTGTGGAATTTTTTATGTTCCACTTTGTATGAGGCCAAGAGCAAAGAAAGAACCACTGGAAGAGACCCTGTTTTTGTCTTAAAGGTTTGACTTTGGACACAGGTGAATCAGCACATACAGTGTACCAGGTGTCAAGTGATAGTTCACTTATGGCTTCCAATTTTCTTGTCCTTTCTCCCCTTCCCCACAATCCCTCCCCCATGTGTATATGATGAATATATTTGTGTAAATATGGAAGTTATTGGAGAATTCTGGATGTTGCTCCTTACCTTCTACCATGTTTGAGATGAATCTTGTTTGCCTTATTTATAAACTGAGTACTCGATGGTTTCTTGTTGGAACTTGTACTTAGAGAGTGGATCTGTTTGTTGACTTGTTTTTATAGCGCCATGGCAGGGTTTTTCAAGACCAGCTCTGTGAACAACTCCATTGTGTACCCAACTTGTTACCCAACGTGTTCCAACCCCTGTTGGGGTAACTTGAAGGAGGACACAAACCCTGCCTGGTGGGTTGTCTCACGTAGGAGTTTTCTTACGCCAAAATAAATATACTATTTTATTTTATTTTTTTACTTTATGTGTATGAATGTTTTGCCTGTGTGTATTATGCACCATGTGCATGCCTAGTACCTTAGAAGGCCAGAGAGAGTGTCATTTCCCCTGGAACTGGAGCTAGAGAAGATTGGTGTCTTGTGGATTCTTCTGGGAATTGAATTCTGCTCCTCCAGAAGAGCAACAAGCACTCTTTACCCCTGAGCCATGTCTTCAGCCATGACTCTGCCTGTTTTGTTTTATATAGTGTCCTCCTGATTTCCTCAATGCTCACCTGAGCCAATATGTATTTGGAGAATTATGTAAGCTGTAAAAACCAGTTTCCATTCCTTGCTTGCAATATGGTAAACTCTAAGCTCTCTGAATATTTGACATGGTGCTTTATTATTTTGATGTAGCATAGTAGTATTTTGCTTGTTAAATTTATGAGTGTTCAGGCATGAAGTGTTGAGGAAGAATAGCGTTGATTCCAGAGCAAGAATAGAGGAGTAGCAGCTGCTGATAGAGGTTGCTTTACTTTGGTAAATAGGAATGTTATCTTATCCAGGAGTTGCAGGCAGTGCCAAAGCACTATTAATTTATTCATTGATTGTCAGAAATTCAGTAACTAACTGGGAAATACTTTTCCTAACTGGGAAATATTAGGTGTTATAAAAAGAAGTTAGAAGGTTTTCCAGGCTTTAATAATGGTATTATTTGGATAAATGAACACAAACTTGTTCATCACCCATTACTGCTAACCATCTGGCTAAATTTAGCTTTGACTTTGTGATAGTAAAAGTTAAGTTTTCGTCAGGGCACTTACTGTGATCCTCCCTCTGCCTAACAAATTGTGGGATTACAGATAGGTGCCACCATGGCGGGTCTGTCTGTCCATTCGGTCTATTCTGTTTGCCTGTCTGAATTTCCATTAGTGTGTTGGGTTGCTGTTGGGGGTTTTTACACTTTTCTGGGGGCCTGCCACCCAGCTCCCAAATAACTTCACATACAGAGTCTTATTATTACTTATGATGCCTGGCCTTAGCAGCTTGGCTTAGTTTCTAGCCAGCTTTCCTTATCTTAACCATTCTCTTACTTCTGTAATTCTTACTCTTACTCCGTGGTTTGCTGGTTGTGTAGGTGGGTGGGTGGCTGGACCCCGATGTCCTCCTTTTCTCTTGCTCCTTCTCCATCTCTCTTTCCAGATTTCTTCCTTTATATTTTCTCTCTGCCTGCCAGCCCCACCTATTCTTTCTCCTGCTTTGATATTGGCCAGGTGTTTTGCACAGACACAGTGACACAGTTTCACAGAGTTAAACAAATGCAACATAAACAAAAGTAACACACCTTAAAACATTCTACTACATTTGGGGGTTGTGCTTATGGAAGTTAGAAGACAAATTTTGGGAATTAGTCAGTTGTCATCTTCTGCCTTGTTGAGGCAGGATCTCTCCTGTTTGTGTGACTGCTGGGCCACATACTATAGGCTAGATATTTTGGGCAGTTTCTACCTTTCCCTCCTATCTTGCTTATAGGTTTGATGGAATTGTATATGCCTGCCACCACTGTGGATTCTGGGCATCAAACTCTGGTCCCACGCTTGTGCAGCTAGTATTCTTACTAGCCTTCTCCATGAGCTAATCAGCTTGAAGATACTGTTAACAGTTTTTGCTGTGAATATGCCACTGTCTCCTTCTTGTTAATGTTATTCAGGCAGTTTTCCAAGACCAGATCAGGTTTCGTCAGGGCTTTTGAGTTCTTTTGTTGTTGTTATATTTGTTTGTTTTGTCTTTTTTTTTTTTTTTTTTTTTTTTTGGAGACAGGGTTTCTCTATGTAGCTTTGCACTTTTCCTGGAACTCACTTGGTAGCCCAGGCTGGCCTCAAACTCACAGAAATCCGCCTGCCTCTGCCTCCCAAGTGCTGGGATTAAAGGCGTGCGCCACCACCGCCCGGCTGTTTTGTCTTTTTTTATCTAACAATTAAAACAGGTTTTAACCAGACACATTGGTACACAGGAAGGCAGAGGCACTTGGTTTTTTTTTTTTTTTTTTTTTTAATTTCTAAGGGCAACTGGGTCTACATAAAGAGGGACCTGTCTCAGCAGCAAACACCCAATCCTTAAAACAAAACAAAAGCTCTAGTTTCCTCAGAAGAATCTTGAAGGTAGCTACTATGCTAAGCAGAGTTTGACAGTTTTATAGGGAAGAGCCAGAAAGTAGGATTTCCACAATGGGAATATCTCTTTTTGTGAGGGTGCTCTGCTTTTCTCCACTTAACAAGAATACTATGCTATAGGGTTCAGTCAACACCCCCCCCTGCCCCCCAAGAAAATCAACCACACAGGATGGATTCAATACATTCGTGTTTGATGTTGAGTGACTTCTCATTGCATGTTGTGTGTGTTCTCTGTGGATCCCTTAGATCTGCATGATGCTTGTTTTAGTTATTTGACAGCAGCAACTGAAGGTAGGAAGGGTTTATTTGGTTTACAGTTCCAGGGGTTACAGTTTACTGTGATGGGGAGGCATGGCAGCAAGAACACGAGGCAGCTGGTCACATTATATCCACAGCGGGGAAGTAGAGAATGTACAGGAATTGTAGCCAGGCATGAAACCTCAGTCAGTGCCCTTCTCTAGAAAAGCTCCATCCTCTTCCTTCCACAGCCTGGCACAACAGCACCACTAGCACCAGGTGAGGACCTATGTTCAGAAAGCCTATGTGGGGCCCATAGCACATCTAAACCAGCACAGCCTACCCATAGAAAGAAACACTTTGTTGTTCTATAGGTCATATGTAGCTAGGGAATAGGTCAATGGGGATGTGGTGATGAAGCAAGGAATCGATTGATTTAAATGGTGATGGGCAGTGAAGAGATTGATTGCTCTGTCAGTGGACTAGAGATTGGTTCTCTGCTCCCATGTTGGTGTATCTCATAGCTGCTTGTAACTCCAGCTCTAGGGAATCCAACACCCTCTTCTGGCTTTTGTAGGCACCTGCCCACACGCATTTATACACACATTTCATTAAAAATTTTTTTCTTAATTCTTAGCCACAAGGTGAAATGGTTCTACTTTCAGTTTTTATTTTTATGAATGTATATGGTGGTGATAAAGCTTTAAGATTGCTCATTAAAGAGGGGCCTTTACTAGGAGGTGAGGTCATGTGTCTAGAAGTAGGGCTGTGTTTATCCGTTTTTTAGTTGAAAAATTATTTTGATCATTTTTTCCATTTCTCCAGTTTCCAGATCCTTCCCACCTACCCACCCAAGTTTGTTCTCTTACTCTCCCTCTCTGTTTTCAAACAAACAACCAAACACCCCCCTCCCCAGTTGAATCAAAACAAGCAGAAGACCAACAAGAAAAAAGGCATGTAATGGCAGAAGACCTTTAAGCTAAAAGGTGTATATGGACACACAGTCCTAAAGTGGGATGTTTTCATCAAACCTTTCCCTCTCAGGCTCAGGTGGCTATGGAGGAAGGGGAGGTGGAAAGATTATTTAAAAAAAAAAAAAAATCCACAGAATCCATTGAGACAGTTTTTTGTTCTGAACAACTACTTCTGGGCAAGGAAGCCTACCTTGGAGTTGGTATAACCAGTGGTATTCCATTGGAGAAAACCAATTTTCCCCCTTTGTTAAGTATCAGTTGCAGTTAGTTTCTTAGTTGATACCATGTCCACTTCCCCCTTATAGTGCTGGAACCTTGTCTGGCGTGAAAACTTGTGCATGTCCTATGGGTGTTAGCACAGTCTGTTTGAGTTCTTTATGTGCATCTTGTGTCTGGAGGACTTCTATGACTCTGGCT